GCTCTGCAACCAATCAGAAAACAGGATTCCGATAAATTTGGCTTCGTGTTATCGGAATCCTGTTTTCTGATTGGATGCAGAACATCGTACGACGAAAATCGGATGCAGGATGAATCCAGCAATTGTTCATCGAATATTATAGAACGATAAAAGGCCTGTTCTTTTTAACTGAACTTTTATACCAGTTCATCTTTCTTCCTTTTCTCTCCAAGAGGAAAGAAAAGAAAGATGAAGTAGTATTTTCCTAGTTTTTCGTATACGTTTCTTTTCAAGAATAGAACACTAGTTCATCTTTCTTCCTTTTCTCTCTAGGAGGAAAGAAGATGAAGAAAGATGAACTGGTGCAAAAGTTCAGCCAAAAAGAACAGACCACGTGAATAAAACCACCGACCACCACCGACGAGATACTATTAAAGACGGCCGGTCTTTCGCGTGAATTAAAATTTGAGTGATGAGTAAGAGATATAGTACTGAGAAATATAGTACTAAGTAAATGTTAAGACCTTTTTTACCTCAAATTTTGATGAAAGTATACTCAATCGATGCGTTTTTTGCATGAAACGAAAGAATCTGGCAGAAAAAAGTGTCGCTCTGCCTCGCGACCGAGATATTAAGCGTTAAAGTTGACGATTATTGAGGTTAATATTTACCCAGTACTAATTTTGATTTATTAGTTTCGTAGACATGTGTATATGTTTAAAACTTAATAATACTTGATTTTTACTTAACTGTGATTTTAACGTTATTATCATCAGAGTTTGATAATCGATAGATATGATAATTATAGAGAGAAAGTTGTAATTTTGCAGCAATATATAAGATATTCTAGCATTACAATGAGTATGCAAACTTATTTATGCAGCATTTATATAATAAAAGATCATAAATTTAATTATGTCGGACCTGAGCTAATTTAACCTAACCTAACTTAGGCCGAGTCCGAATATTATACACAGCTGTATTCGGATATTATAAGGTAGGCCATTTCAATACACGCGAATATCTCGTCAGGTAAGCAAGATAGCGAAAAATGTTTCAGACCAAAGTTGTATGGCTTTGAGGGAGACATTAGGTGGTGTCATTAGTTTAACCTTGAATAGTTGCTTGAAGGTCACGTGAAGGTCACCTTCAATTTCTTAAATAGAAACCCCTATTTTTCATTCGATATTCTTGTAGCTTGCCTCAAGAGTTTTCCAAAACACTATAATAAAATATTTTTTCATCAAGTACTTTTTTAGTTATGATGCTAAAGTTACAATACCTCCGACATTTAGCCTTATCCAAGGTGTCGACAGCCAAAACCTCCTAAATGTTGTTTAGGACCATGAAATGGATAACATTTATCAAAATCAAGGCCATTGGAAATTGTACATCTTATTTTCATTTTTACTAAAATGAATTTTTAGCGTAAAAATGAAAATAAGATCAGCCTCCAATGACCTTGATCTTAACAAATGTTATCTAGTTCATGATCTTAAACAACATTTAAGAGGTTTTAGCTGTCGGTCGGACACTTTGGATAATGCTAAATGCCGGAGGTATTGTAACTTTCGAGCATCATAACTAAAAAAGTACTTGATGAAAAAATATTTTATTATAGTGTTTTAGAAAACTCTCGAGGTAAGCTACGAGAATATGCAATGCAAAATAAGGATTTCCATTTAAGAAATTGAAGGTAACCTTCACGTGACCTTCAAGCAACTATTCAAGGTTAAACTAATGACACCATCTAATGTCTCCCTCAAAGCCATACAACTTTGGTCTGAAACATTTTTCGCTATCTTGCTTATCTGACGAGATATTCGCGTGTATTGATTAAAATGGCCTACCCTGTATACTGCTAGTACTAAAAATCAGTATACATTACATGAATTATTTTCAGTACTGACAGTGTATATATGACACACAAATTTAAAATTGGGATAATTTTTAAAGTCGTAACTTGTGAGTTGTAACCACAGTCACCACACTGACTACCGTTGCGGCCGAAATACGGCAATAATATCGTATATTGTCCGAAGAAAACTTAGCTTAAATGAACGATTCTCGGTGAGAAAATTGCACAAAGTCATGAACTGTCCGGAACTTGTTTCTGACTATCGTAACCCAGCAATCAAATGGTACCAGACAGATCTTAGCGTCGTTATTTCTATTCAATTGACCGACGTATCCGACTACTACCTCCGAATTGAAAATGGTTGTTTGCAATTCAGGTAATCAGATGTGATAGAAGAAAAGGAGAAATATGCATTCGATATATATGAAACAATCCAATTTCAAATCTCATTGCAGTACAGAGATAAACGGCAAGAAATACTATCTCATTCTATATCTGTTTGGAGCAGTGATAGCAGAAAAGACAGTGCACAAAAATCTCGCGAGAGAAATTAAGATCTATCTTCTGAAGGCACTCAAATGTACAGTAATTTTTCCCACCATAAAATAGTTGCTTTTCATTCACACTGATTCTCAGATAATTTACACTGTGATGTTATAACTCGGTTGAATGCGCGTTCCTTTTGCATTCTGACAAATGAGATTCAACTTTTTACCTATAATCTGCACAAAATCAAGATCATATGCTTTAGTGAGTCTCGTAAATTCACTTTAAAAGTGAGATTATGAATCTGTGTTGTCATATGATAACTTTTTACCAAAGACATCATTAATCTAAGTATAAAATACTCAGCCTACTTCAGACTCAATTTCACTTGTGTGTAAATGGAAAGCAGCTATGAAGCCTGAGACCTGTTCTTTTTAGCTGAACTTTTTGCACGGTTCATCTTTTTTCTTTTTCTCTTCAATGAACAGAAAAAGAAGAAAGATGAATATGCAAAAACCTTAGTTAAAAAGGATAGACCTATTATTTCTATGAAGAACAGATTTACATCTTGCTTCTCTGTTATATTTTGTTATCTTTGTTTCAATAGGGTATCCATGGTTGAGATTGATCAAATCCAAAGAAAAGCATCCACTTATATCATACGACCCAGAACGTATAGAAGAGACAAATCATATTCGAAATACTTATGACAGTAAGAATAATTATTTTTACTTATATATATGTATATACAGGATGTTTAAAAAGTAATGAAAAATCTTTCGCAGGCAGGATGAACTAAACTGAGAAGAAAAGTTCTCTACTATTTTACAATTTTCACAATAGTTAACAAGATATTAATACTAAAAATTGTCGAAAATTGGTCTTCAATAATTTTTTACTCAAATACTATTAACTTTACAGAAAAACTGTAAGAGACAAAAATTATTTATTTTCTTCTCATAAGGTTCTGAGAATTTTTTCAGAATGTCTCTTTCAGTTTTTCTGTAAAGTTGATAGTATTTGAGTAAAAAATTATTGAAGACCAATTTTCGACAATTTTTAATAATTAATATCTTGATAACTATTGCGAAAATTGTAAAATGGTAGAGGACTTTTCTTCTCAGTTTAGTTCATTCTGCTCCTATGCAATAGATTTTTCATTACTTTCCAAACACCCTGTATATATATATATATATATTTTACAAGATGCTTAGCTGTTATTTGCAAATGAACAAAGACAAGTTCTAAAGTCCTGTGTCTATGATGCTATAACTTGAAATCTTAGATTGATTTATAGCATCATGGACACAGAGCTTTTTTAAACTTGGGATACGGTTAATGTAATGCTACAAACGCTTTGAATCATTCGTTAATTAGTCAGTTAGTAAAATTTTTCTGATTATTCAATCAAATATTTTAAAGCATTTGTAGTGAGACTTTGACGCATCCTTATATTAAATTCGCACGATTGGACGCACACTGGTGCACGTTAAAGCCGTCGTACATAAATTGATGTAAAAATGTGTTTAATAAATATAAAAACGGATTAAACCGTAATAAATCCTCAATATGTCTTATTGTGCTGTTAAGTAAAATATATATTTTATAATTCAAAATATCTGCATTTCACTTTCTTACATTTGTTAAATCAGTATACCATGGTTTTAATATGTAGCATTACACACTACTGCGTCCAACCGAATTTGCTGTTATTCATGTATGTTTTATTTTGTTTTATAGTAGGCAGATTCGAACGGTATAAACGCGAGCATAATATATCATATTTAATGCCTGTTGTGCCATCTAGCGATGAAGAAGACTCTGAGGATGAAAATATAGACTTCCTTCATTATGGTTAATGTATTATATCAATTTAATTTCTCTGACGTAAATTTTTAACATTTATCATATACACAAAAAATTTTTGATAATTTATACTTTTTACAGTTTCCACTGTAATGTTAATTATATCTTATTGTATACAGTATATTACCTTAGCATATTTTTTAATTTTTTTTACAAGATTGTAAAAGAGCTTTCTTGTAACAAACGAATCGAAAGTAAGGTATATAATGGAGAAAATATTAGGAATGAATATTAAATATTAAAGGAATAAGAAAATTAGGATTAAAAATTAAATACATAATCGATATATAAATATTAGATATATTATATATTATATATTATATATTATATTTTTATCCATTGTATGTTTAATTTTTATTCCTAATTTTTTCTAATATTTTATATTGATTCCTAATATCTTCTTCATTACATGCAGAGCTTAAAAAACTATCCAGTATTTTATTGATAAACTTCTTGATATTGATTATAATGACTAAAATAAGGTATAATTTAAAATAGGTATAATTTTTATGTTATGCTTTATGTCTTATGTCATTTCCATAATTTTATTTCCATAATTAAAACGATACCTTTGTTCAAATATAATATTTTGTTGGATAAGATACATAATATTTCACATCATAAAAGTTAAATTATTTATAAAATAAATATTTAAGGATTTTATCATTTAACAAATTGTATCAAATGTCATAAAATTAATGCATTTATCATTACATACTTCTTTCCGGTAAAAATAATTAAATATATTTTCATCATTCATCACTAAATAATACTATATTCTTGTACTATTTATATATATGTAAGGAATGCAAAGTTACTTTTTAAAAGTAATAAGTTACAGTTACAGAATAGAAAAAGTAACAAGTTACCGTTACTAGTTACCAATTTTTAAAAGTAACTCATTACAGTTATCGTTACTTGAGAAAATAACTTTTCGTTATTTTTCCGTTGTTTTTTTTTTAAATTGACGACCATCAATTACAGCGGACGGGTACCTAGGGACTTTCTAGTCACAATTTGAGTGTCCAATCGAACTGTGTCCAATTGTGTGTAAAAACGATAAAAATAACTTTCGTTACCGTTACAAAAAAAATTACGTTATCGTTACAGTTACCAGTAAAAAAAAGTAACGCAATTATCAGTAAAGTTACCAAAAAAATAATTTGTAACTGTAACTTCGTTACAAGTAATGAGTTACTTCCATTTCCTTACAGGGTGTTTAATAAATGCATGTCAATACTTTAGGAGGTAAATCTATACTCTAAAATAAGTAAAAAATGTCATATGAACATATGTCCTACATATCTTAGTTTTCAAGTTATGAACGATTAAAGAAAATAATCGAAATATTCGCTTCGTGCAACACATGCTACTTCACGCCTTAGCATCGAGTCCCGCACTCGTTATTAAAAATACTAGGTATTCTTCGAATAGTCTCAAATCTATTTCGTATCCTTTCTCACAGATTATCCGCATTATTTACTAGCGTTGAATACACAATAGATTTTAAATGGTCCCAAAAGTAAAAATCTAATGGATTGAATCAAAGGAGATCGCTGTGGCCATGAGGTAGGCTGCCTCACCCTATCTATCGGTTTGCGAATGCATTGTTTAGGAATGTTCTCACTTTAGGAAATGAGACGGAGCGCCATCGTGCATGAATGATCATGGGTACATCTATGTATGTCGGCCATTTCAGCATAAGTGTACATTACTTAATAATTTTGTTTCATCTTTAGATAAACTGTGGTAATTTACTTATTGGATAAACAAAAGAGTAAAAGAGTAAGAACATAAGAATAAGAGAGTAAGACAGTGAGCTGAAGTTTACCGAAAGATGGAACAATCCAGTCTTAGCACAGTATTTAGAACAATAACTCGCGAACATAAAATACCGACTGTTTGAAATTCTGTCCGATTTATTGATAAATATTGTTTGTAAACATTAGATAATATCGAGATGTGCTAAAATATACAGCTAAAATGTACGCGTGTTGACGCACACAGTGAGCATTTCGAACATTTCCTTTAATCATCCATAACTTGAAAGCTAAGATTTGTAGGACATTATGTTCATATGGTTTTTTACTTATTTTAGTGTATAGATTTACCTTCTAAAGTATCAACATGCTTTTATGAAACACCCTGTATATGTATACTTATATGATATACTATACTATCAAACTATTTTACATTATGGCTTATATTTGGAATGTTATTAAACTCATTGGCAACTCATAATAATTATTCATACAAGTACATTTTTTGGCAATGCATTAATCTTGGATTGCTATTCAACTCTATGATGTATAATTATTTGTAATTTATCTATAAATATTTTGATGTGATGATAACTTCTATAAAATAGCAATAAAAACATTAAATTTTTTTTTGAATCCAGCATTTTACTAAAACTAATTATCTAGTAAAATTAAAACGCAATGGGAGAATTTGTTCATAAAACTTAGAAATGGACTTTTTTGCTACTGTAAGAAAATGTATATTATCTTATTTGTATCTGTAAAGAACGATGTTATATTACATGATTTCACTTAAATGCTTCTAAGTTTTATCACATAAATCACAACTAACTGTAAAATCATAACTATTATAAAATGTTAATTTTATAATACATCATAATCCTTTAAATAATACAGAAAAGTATCACTGAGGTATCATTTTACAATCTGTGCGAAGAACTTTGTAAGATATTAAAAAGGAAAAAAAAACGCACAAGAATCAAGGCTAATGAGAGTACAGTGCGGTTAACAGTGCGCAACGCAGAGATATACAGACTTAGGTTATAAATTTAGTGTGTACATAAATTTATCTGAAGATAACTCAAAACAAAGTCGGAAACGTTCAATTAATTGTGGATGTGACATCAAGATAACACAATAAATTTATAACATAAGTGTATATTAAAAAGCGCCATAACGGTCAGAACGTTAAGATGTTGAACTATTGTAAATTCATTTAAATGAATTAATTTCAGAAATTATAATTGCGTGCCGATATGGTCTCGGTGGTCTAAAGGCTTAGGACGCTCGCACGGAATGCAAGAGATCCGAGTTCGACTCCCGGCCGAAGCATTATTTTTCGCAATAAGTTTATTACAGTTTTTAAGTTGGGAAATTTGGGGGGATTATTAATATTTTCAGATTTGATTGCGTTGAAAGTCCGACAACCATATCGGCACGCAATTATAATTTCTGAAATTAATTCATTTAAATGAATTTACAATAGTGTGTGTTCAACATCTTAACGTTCTGACCGTTATGGCGCTTCTTAATTTAAAATATTGTAGTTAACATTAGCGGTCTTTCAATCTTATTATTATAAGTGTATATCTCTGCGTTGCGCACTGTTAACCGCACTGTACTCTCATTAGCCTTGATTCTTGTGTTTCTTTTTTTATATTTTTGAGAGTCTTTTTTATAATTTTTATTAAAAAGCAAACCTTTGTAAAATAAAATAAAAAATGCGACTGTGTGTCATACATTGATAAATATTAATAGATCATAATGTTTTACGTCTTGCAAATCTTGCAAAATGATTTACAGAATATCTACAAAATTTGTATCACAATGACTAATAACGACGTTTATTTGTTTTGTCAAAATAAATAAAATCATGCGTTTAATTGTAAGTGTGCGTAATGTATTAATCTCCCAAATTTTATAAAGTCCAGTGCCTATAAATTTGACATCCATTTATGTAAAATCTATCGTGAATGTTTCCATTAATTTTTTTTTATATTTTCTGTATTCATAGAACTGGACATTAGAGTCTGTTAATGTTTTCTTCGAAATTGATATAACTTTGATATATTCAAATGTTAGGTAAAACTTGATATATGCGTGATTCTAATTGGCGGTAACAGGAAGGATGCGCAGTGTTACTCTGTGGTACTATTTCGTAAGATAATTTCACAGACTGCTTACTACAATTACTCATTATGGGCGCGGTAATGAAAATTAAAACGTGCAATGATGTACTGCATCTTTTATAAACTTATCAGATATGCCTTAATTTCATTAATATTAATATTAACATTTTATTTTACAACATAGATTGAACGCAGTATATATGCAATGTAATTTATAATATTAAGCGCATTCAACATATTGTATTGAAATTGTTGCCTAAACATATTTAATTTGGCTAGCAACCTTCTAACGACAGCCTTTGATTTATATTATCGACTCTTAGTTTCATTTCCCTGAGAATATCCACGGCAAGGTCATCGACTGTGGTGTACCGTACCTTGAAGAAATTAAATATATCTACAAGAAACTCGATTACTTGTTCTCTAAAGTAATGACAAGTGGAACGTAGGCTCTCTTCGGAACCCAAGAATCCCCAAATGAACATCGGCGAGATTTGTTCGGAGATGGAGTAGAAGTGCGCCAAGAAGCCTTGATCGTATTTCAGCATCTTTCGTTTGCCTGCCAGGACTGACCAGAGCGAAGGTAATCGATGATTAGATAAATATTAAAATCGTGATAGAAAATTTATATTCGTGTACATACAGTTTCTCTGAAACTGGCGGACACCCATCTATTTTGAATTATAGCTCTGACGGACGACGGTGGTTTTTCCACGTCTTCGAAGGCGTCTAAGAGTATGAAATCAATAAGCACGTCGTAAAAGTTCATGCACTTGACACCTCGGGCGGTCAATTCCTCCTCCATGATGCTATGATTGCGTGACTCTTGTAGGAACTCCATCATACGCTCATAATACATTAAGTAATCCTTAGGATCCTGTAACATAGAAATTTCTTCTTTTAAAGTGTCAAGCGATTTGAATACTTTCATTATGTTTATTTACTCGATTAATATTCTTACCCTATCCGCGTACATAATTAAATCGCTAATGACTTGACGACCTACGTCAACTATATATGTCGTTGCCGTAGGTAAATTAAATAATTTCGTATAGGCTTGACGCAGGCAGTACACTTTCGCTAAATATTCCACGTCTGATCCGCACTTTACGAGTTCCGTGTGTAGTCTCCTGTAATATATGATTATATGTCATAATCATACGTGTAGAGATACAAATATAAACTGAGCCAGTTTACCTGCAAGGAATGCCTTTATCCTCGTACTGTTTAAGAGCAGTATGATAAAGCTTTTGCTTTTCAAAATGTGGAAATAATTCTGAAAATTCTTCGAATTCACGCAAATCTGCAACCTGAAATAATTTAATGAGCAGCTAATCTATCTTTTTTTCTTCAATATCAAGAGAATTGTCAGAAACAGTTTATAATTATGAAAATAAATACATGACATAGATATTATCAGATATAAAATAATTGATCATTTTTTCGAGAGTCATTGCACGTCTTCGAATTACATTAACGTCCCACAGCCACTCAACACATCCGTTTAATCTGTCGCGGGATACGGACAGATTATATTTATCTGTCTCGTGCATATAACTCACCCCGTCACGTGCAGATTCGAACGATTCGGGCGATGATGCGGCGTCAGCTTTATCCCTGAAACCAAATAGCCGTGTACCAAAGTTTGAAGGTTTGTCGAGGCTCTCCTCGCTGTCGTTGCGGAATAAAACGGAGTGCTGCAGAAAAAAAAGAAGATAAAGTAAGTAGACAAAAGTCAGAAGTTGGATGCGTCGGCGATATGGATAGATCGTAACTCTCGCGATAATGAACGCCTAATTCTCGATGTATGTATCGCGTTTCGAAAACTCAGATTGTTTTCAGAGAAAGTCATTCACTTCCTATGCCATTAACGTTCCGCAACAATTCCCGGCGGCTGGCGTCAGGTCAAGTGACTCGTTGCGCTAATTACCCCCGGGGCGGTTGTCATTTAAATTGGATTAATTTTCCGCATTTTTTTACTGGACCGGTAGAAGGGCAATTGATGATGAATGCAACGGAATGGAATGATCGTCCGTTCGTCTGCTCACGAAAGACGGGCGGTGGTCTCTCCAGATTGAAAATCGGATCTCATGGTCACGCTGAGTCAGGATTAGTTTTGTGGATTGATGGATAGGAGAGAGATACCGTACTTGATCGAGGAAAAGCAATTCCGCGTGGCTTTGGATCTGGTAGCCCATGTCGAGCAGCTCCTGCACATCGTGGGTGAACGCTGCGTCGGCTTTCGACGGCAGAGCCAGGGTGTCGTTGCCAAGAGTCGAGCTGAACGCGGTGAGCGCGTCTTCCCAGCAATAAAGAGCCTTCTCCAACGCCTCGAGTCCTGTTAACGAGAACGGCATCAGTTTATCTAGGCGGAAAAAAATTGAGTCCGGTTATATCAGAAGAAAAATAAACTATATTTCGTAATTAAGTAATTAAAGTAATCTGAGAACTTCAAGAGGAAATGTAAGCAGATATTAAGTTATAGCCTCAGTGGGAAAGAAGATAACATATGATAATGAGAATTAACGGTGTTGTTGTTATTGATAGCGAAGCGTAAAAGTCCACTCATGAATCTAATCGTTCACGGAAAGAAAGATTTGAAGCATCTAAAAATTTAACTAGATATAGATCATCAAATAATTTTGCCGGACCATCAAAATCATTGTAAGAATCTCAAGTATGATGAGTAATGCTGCAAAAAATTGTGACATTTTAGCAACCAGTTTGAGCAACCAGTCTTACATAATTTTGATACTCCGACAAAATTATTTTTAGATCTGTATCTAATTAAATTTTTAAATACTTTAGCAAAGTCGTCCTTTTCGTGCGATAAATGTAATTTCATATTATACTTTATGATGTCTACAAAAATATTATATATTAGGGTAAAATAAGATGAAAAATATTATATTAAAATATTGATATTATTTTAATACATCTTTTCTGACGTAGGAATTCGAGTCCAGTTTCCAGCCAGCCGGAAGAATATATACCTTTCCCATCGTTTCTCGCGCAGGTAATTACGCTTTTTTCTAGAAAATTAATGAATTTGAAATTAATGTCGATCTGTACGCGCGAATAATTAACAGTAAAAAGTGAAAGAAAGACAGGAGAGTCGAGGACGGTCGCTACACTTGAGGACTTCAGGGATTCGAATTCCAAGTCGATGACGGCACTCTGCCTTTATTCAATCTTTCGTAAGTCGCCGGAGAACGTTCACCAATTTGCTACAACGGAAGTCCGACAACACGCCGCGTTAATTCGGAGGGCCGCCCCCCCTTCCCTCCCCCACCGGCTAATGTCCTGAAGGCTGATCCGTCATCATTTTCAATCTGTGCTGTTTTATATCGTCACTGACAATTATAAGTATACAACACCGACCGATGAAACTGGAACAGTCGCGTGAGATCGATATCGTGATTATCTCGCGTGACAATTGACTCTTCGGAACTCATCGTTTAAATGGTTGCCAATCAGTGGCGTAACGAACCTTATGAAGAATACTTGACAAACTTATCGAGATATAAAATCGTTTCGCGTCGAGTATTGTGAGATCACGAGACAACAACGCAATAAATCAATCGCGACGGATATTCTGTTCCTCTCGAGTATTTCCCGATTTTCCAAAGAGAGAGAGAGAAAAGTCTGCTTTGCAGGTCGCAGCTTTATCTCCACGGAAAAGATGGTTTTGCTAAATTATCTACAAATTTAGCTAGATACATATCTAAAAATAATTTTGTTCGGAAATTCAAACATAATAATTGCCCAACCAATGTCGCAAAAAATTTTGATATTCTATTCTATATTACTATAAATTTTTTGTGATACATTTTTTGTTATCTTTTAATGTACGTAAGAAAAAAAGATTAGATTAGGAATTAATAAACTACAAAAAATTATAGTTTTAAATATGCTCTAAGGTCGATTTTCTCAGTCTTGAATTAATCACCAATGAATTAATTGTTAAGTTAATCAGAGTTTGCTCGAAGTTGCTTAAATTGACTTTGACTTTGACTTATTGACGAATTCGGGGTCGAAATTCGCGATGTGACGAATGGGTTTTAATCGGCGTGACGCGTTTTCGGAAATGTATAAAATGTCGATCGTTCGGTAGAAGCAGGCAGGAGAAGGATTTCCGGCCGTACAACGCTAATTTTCGTCCACTGCTTCAATTTTGGAGATGGGAGGGCGTACATCTGTCCCTCCCGCGTTCGCGGGAGAATGCACAACGCGTGAGACGTGCCCCGGAACGCCCCGGTTTATTTGCGCGGCACGCTCGGCGGGCGAACATAAAGATTGCATTCCTGAAATTGAGTGAGGAAACCAAAACACGGCAATGCGTATTCCGTATTGCGCCACTTTACTGTATTAATCTCGTGCTGAGTGTTCCTCTCGAAATAGACGATCGTCCTCGCAGATCGTCCTTCACGGAAAGAACGAATTTGTCGAAGTATCTAAAAATTTAGCTATTAAATACAGATCTGGAAACAGTTTTGTTGACCTCTTATAATTATTATGTAAGAATCTTAAGCGTAATAAGCAATGCTGCAAAAAGTTTTGACGTTTTAACAACCAGTTCGAGTGTACTACATAATTATTTTAATGATCTAACAAAATTATTTTCAGATCTGTATCTAGCTAAACCTTTAGATACTTTAACAAAACTTTTCTGCTCTTTTCTGCTCTTCAAATGTTTAAAAATTTGAAATCAAAATTAAAAGGAAAAACATGTTTTTATATGTTACTCTTTTTTTGTATCGTATTTTTGTATCTTATATATATCTCATACAGTGCATCGAATATTCTTCTTAAAACGGACAATCGTCTTCGCAGATCGCATAGCTAATTGCCACATGTACTTAAAAATTCCAAACCAAAAAAAATATCAAAAAAGGTAGTTTCTGTCATTCTTTTCTTTGTATCTTAAAAATGTATGCCATGCGAGATGCACATGTTTTCTTTCTTCCCCTACATTTGTAATTACATTCTTTCTTCCTACATCCCTGTGGGATTCATCTTCATTCCAGGTCAGGCCATAATTCAAAAGAATAATCTATTTTCGAAGCGGCGTACGCGTGTTACGGATTGCGACGGGGTTTATCTTTTCCAGAGAGAATTCCGCCATATCGGAGGGAAGTTTTCTCCCGAAAGGGTTAAACCTGCTGCGATCTCGCATCGGTGCTCGGTCATTACGCAATCCCCAGGACGATCCCGAGGGGTCGTAAGACACGGAGGGATGCCCCCCGGAGAAACGCGGCAGTGCGACGCCGTTGCACACGTCCGGCGTCAATAATATACCCCCGGAGTGACGTAATCGCCGGGCCGACCGGTCATTGGAGGATGCGTCATCCAATGGTGAAGGGTCGATACGACACGCGCGCGCGCGCGCTCCCGCCACTTTGAAGCTCGCGCACTTAACGCCGAATGAAACAATTTATTTTATTTAAATTTACAATCTGCATCTCGCACATCACTCCCCTCGTGACACTTCGATTCAGACGGTCGTTTTTATTGCAAGGAATACGATATACTCGAAGTTTCCCTCGGTGAATTTTCGAGAAACAAAATGCGTTCATTGGGAAAAAACACGCGTTGCTGATATTAAAGCGCGCGCACGTTGCGCAGGGGTGGCTATACGGAATCCTCGGGGGGACAATCGTCGGAATTAAACATTACGGGTTCGTACGCCCCCACGAACTGGACGTGGCACCCTAATCATTCCGTATCGAGATCAAACCGCGATGTGTGTGTGGATTAACTTAATGAATTAAACGTCCGTAATTCGTAATCGAATGCGCGGCAAACACGATCGTAAATACGCAAATGAGAACGCTGTTGCATTATAATTGTGAATATATTTTTCGTGGTTAGATATATTTTTCATCTTTTCAATAATATGTGACAAAACACTCTCGAGTTTGTTTAATTTCTCATGGAAAATGGCCATCTTGTGAGTTTCGTCTTTCCGGATTCGAATAAGAGGTCATCGCGAAGATTTTGATCCTGCGGGACCAATGGAAGCGCGAGGAGGACGAAGTACGCACGCTCACCGGTTGCGCGACAAGGACGGACGAGACGCGAAGTTAGGAGGGGAGCGTTCGGCGTTTCGCGCGCTGGCGTCAGTTACTCGGCTACGTTCAGCACTGTTGAACAGAGTCACTCGTTCGTCGCCGATCGCGCAGCGTGCTTCGTCGTGGCGTTATTCTCGCACGTACACACGGGCCGTTGACACGCGGAAGCTTTCGTCGATCGAGAGAAACAAAGGATCGTCCCCGTGCTCGTAGGACGATCGTTGTCGCGAGATCATAACCCGTGATAAAGAAAAACGAGAAAGAGATTTTCCGCCTCAGTGTCCCTGGCGATTTTTACGTACGCGCGTTATTTGGATTAAAGTAGATTACCCCGACGAACGCGCACGCACGCAGACAGAACCATGGTGAGTATGGAAGAATCCCAAACGATTTTTTTCCACCGAGATTCCAACTTCTCCGCAAAAAAAAAAAATACTGCGAGTGTCTCGCTTTTCTCTGTCCGTCGTAGATAGGAGAAAATTCTGATCTCTTCCTGACACGGCCGGGATCTACTTGACATACATAATTTCGTGCAACGTAGTTACGAAACGAACGCCATTCAATTCAACAGAATTCAGTATTATGTAGTTCCTTGACGAAAAAGATTTGCCTTTCCCCTTCCCTGCTGTGTGACGATGATGTCCTTTCTACCTGAAATTATTCTCCTTTTTTTTTGTGATCGTAAACACCAACTGCTGTTTTTCTTTTGAAATAATTACTTTACGACAGACCCTTGCGAAGACGTACGAATTCTTTTAAGTTTTTTTTCCATTTTCATCCCGCATTAACGGGGAGATTGCGAAAAAATCGGGTACTTAATAAATTGGCTGGCAGACGTTACGCAGCGATGGCTTACTTCAGGTTGGTGCACTCGAGAGTGACGCAGAGAGGCGATAAGATCATAATAAGGAACCGAATTATTTCTTAGCATTTCGCAAAGACGATTTCTTTGACCCTCGATAAAATAGACTATTCGGGATAGATCAATAGAATCGATTGCGGGTCGCGCTAACCCCTTAGAAGAAGAAAATGGGTGGGATCGCATTGTTTCCCTCGCCCCTCTCGTGAGGGGGAACGCATCCATCGTGAGAGAGATCGAGGGATTCGCGAACAATACGACCAGCCGCGGGCAACACCTGGGCGTACCTTGTTTATTGCGCAACAATTCACAACAAACAAAAATCGAGTGTTCGAGACGCGTGCGCAGCAGAGAGAGAGAGAGAGAGAAAGAGAGAAAAATTCTGGACCGAGATGAGAACGGGCATCG